AGTATTGGGTTCCTCTATCTAGGTGGAATGACTAAATAGAGGCAGTATATATGGTGAAGGGATAACTGTATCAACAAGAGCCTCGTCAGATTAGACGTAGTAGGAGTGAAAAAAAATGAATTACTATTTAACTCAAAAGTACGTATAATGTCTTCTTATTTGAAAAAAAAATCAAAAGATAAATCTATAAAAGTACATCGAGAAGAACATGGTGAATGTAATAAGGACACACTAATAAACTTTTTATGTTCCAAAAAAACTACATGTCTTGTGAAAACATTTAGACATTGAATCATAACACCTATACCCCTTGTAAAAAAATAAAACAATCTAGCTCTAAGTTCAAGTTTAGTCTTTTTATTAGTAGGAAGTAGAACAAAGCAAATATATCTAAAAACTTTGACAGAATAGTAATCAGGTACCTTATTGTATAGACACTCATAGGAAGATCATATGCCTAATATTGGTGTGAGAGCACAATTAATAATATAAACAATAGTGAGAGCATCTTCACCTCAAAAATGTTCAAGAAAAAAAGAGAAATGAGAAGCGCACGAACAGTGTCATGTATATGATAATGTTTTTTTTTAGCTCGACCATTTTATTGTGAAGTATATGGGCAAGACTTATAAGGAAAAGTTCCATCATTCTTTCACAAGTTACGAAACTCAATTTTTGTTAATTCAGCAACATTGTTAACTTGAAAATCTTTATTTTTTTTAAAAATTGAGTTTGTATCATATTATTAAATTCACAAAAAATTCATAAAAATTTAATTTTTTGTTTAAATAAATATATCCAAGTATAATGAAAGAAATTGTCAACATATATAACAAAGTAATGTGAATCTCCTAAGGTTGGTATGAGAGCTGGGCCCCAAATATCAAAATGGATTAAATCAAAATGAACAGATAAGATAAAATAACTTTTATTAAATGGTAATGCACTTTAATAACTTTTATTAAATTGTAATGCACTTTAATAACTTTTATTAAATGGCAATGCACTTTACTTTCCAAGTTGACAAGACAAACAATCAAAAGTATTATGAGAAACATTACCTAAACACTAGTGGAAGCAAGTGACTTTATTTGAGAAACAGATGCTTGTCTTAGCCTAGAATGTAATAAATCTAAAGAAACTGAAGAGTTAATTGTTTGAGATGTAGTAGCAGTAATCAAATATTATGAAATTTTCTAAGTTTCAAGCTTAAACAGTGTTCCAATCTTACATCTTATCCCAACTTTCTAATCTGTTTGAAGATCTTGTACAATATAATCATCACATTGTGAAAAATGTACATCAAAACCAAGGTCACAAAGTTTGCCAACAGAAAGTAAATTTAAGGCAAGATTAGGAACAAGATAAGTGTTAGATATACATAGTTTGGAGATTTCAATATTACCAATGTGGCTAGCTTTTAAGACAGATCCATTTGCTATTTTAATGATTAGATCATTAGATATAGGTATCTTGCTTTTGAACAAAAAAAGATCAACTGTCATATAATTTCCACAAGTAGTTTTAAACAATCAAGCTTTACCTAATATGGCAACAGACATGGCAGAAACATGAGATCAAGATAATATTTGATTAAACAAAATTTGAAAATCAGTGGTGGATATTGTAATGGTTTCAAAAGAAGACTTAAAAGTAGTTGGTTTAATGGTTGTTGTTGCAACGGTCTTATTAGTGTAAAGATCACGAATTTGACTATCATTATGATGATATTTAGCTCTACAGTTTTTGAACAGAATGATTAGTTTTCCCACATTGTGAACAATACTTGTGAAAAGTAAAACAAGTATTTTTTTAGAAGTAGTAGCAACAATAGTATTAGCATTATAAGTTCAACTCATACCTAATCGAGTTTCTTTGGATATCAATACCATAAGGGCATTATCCATAATCGATAAGAAATGTTGACACAAAAGTGAAGACTTGGTTTTCTCAAATTTATCTCGAAGTGCCATTAAAAATTGAATAAGACAAATTTAATTTTGTTAAGTGATAAAATTACTAGTATCACTTTCATCCTTGAATTTCGGTTCAAAATTCTCAAGCATGTCATATAAATATTGCATTTTAGAATGAAAATCATTAATTGACTGACTTGGTTCTTGACGAAGGTGAGATAAAGTGATCAAAATATAATATTAATGAGCAAGGGTAGTAGAACTGTACCATATGACGAGAAAATCTTAAACATCTTTAGTAAATTCAAATCGTCTAAAATGTACATTGATAGAAGAAATAGTAGTGTTAGTGAATCATGTAAGAACTCAATGATTCTTACTTTCTCATTCTTTTAGTCAATCTATAAATTTATCATCGAATTCTTCTTCTTTCTTTTCTAGTGCTTTGTGTTCTCTGATAACAATAAGTCATAATTTTATCTCTTTTAGATAACTATGCATAGCTGTAACCCACCGATTATAGTTATTTCCATCAAAGATAATTGAAATTAGTTGTACATTTTCTCATTGAATACCTGCCATTAAACTTTTGATTGAAGAAAATAAAATGGAGATCTGAAAAGTTATGAGTATTGATATAAAAGATAAATTTTGAAGATAAGAAAATCAACAAAAAATTTGAAGTGCAAAAGCAAAAGGTAAATAAAGTTAGAAACGGAAATTAACCAAGGATGAGAATAAGTAAATATTGGTTATTCCAAGATGATTTACTTTTAGAATGAACTATGAAATTGCTCTGATACTATGATAAAGAAGAAAATAATAAAAACTTTTATTGTAATAACTTGTATTTTACAATGAAGCTCAAAGCCTATTTATACAGAGGTAAAATGTTGCAAAGCAGAAAATACAACAAATAAAAATAATGACTAAAAGCTAAATCAATATATAATATTTTTTAAATTAATATAAATCAATTTAAAATATTACTAAAATATTACTAAAACAATATCATTGAAATCAATCTAAAATATTATCAAAATTTTTACTAAAATTTCATTGACAGTTTTTAGCAACAAGCCTAATATGATAAATTTGCCTGTCTTTATCCAAAGATAGCACCAATGCTTTTAAGTAAAGATCATTTTTGGAATAAAATGTGTGTGAGAAAGGAAAGAGCAGCGCAGAGTATTAATAATTAATAGAGTAACTGTTTCTTCGTGAAATTTTATGGAGGGAGCTTAACTGATTGGAGTTTGATTGGAAGGACATTTAAAGCAAATCAGAGTATCATCAGGCTGTTAGCTGTCAATTTCTTTCCTTTTTTTTGTTTTGTTTTACTATGACTGAGATTCAATCTCAAAACCCTTTGTTTTGGAGTCGATTTCAATACCAGACTATGGATGATTTATATGCTTTTTTTCAAATAATTACCAGACTTGCTTGCAACTAGGACTGGATTTTCAAGATATATACATCAAAATTACACAAGCTTCCAAGCCTGACCCATAAGCACATTGCTATGAATGATTTATGCTTTTGTCAAGGAACTAGAGTTACTTGTAAAATTTAAAAGGATTTTAAATTCATGCTTTGATTCAAGTTTTTAAAAGGATTTTGTTATAACTATTAAAGTGAACTTGCATGAATGCAGTACCACCAAAAAAAAAAATGTAAAATCAGTTGCAATCAAGCGAGATAGCGTCCCAAATGGCAGGTCGGAAAATCCTTTAAGAAAAAAATAACAAATTTGAATGAAATTAAGGTTTGTTTATACTTTATAAACCTGATTAGGCACAAACCATTACAGTATAATTGCTCTAACACAACAAAGTACTGTTGTTAATCTAAAAGAAACGAATCCTGTAACAACGAGGGAAGATGTTGAAGCTGCAGGAAATTTAACCATGGATAATTGGATATGCATTTGTAAACTTGTGAGTTTGAAATATGTTTTTAGTAATTCTGCAGTGGTATGCAACTGATAATAGGATGGGCATGTGGTGAAAAAATAGCAGAAAAATGTAAAATGTAATGTGGAAAAAGAATTGCAATAAACGATTTGATCCCACCAAAATCTAAGAACATGGGGCTGTTTTGGCATGATTAAGAAGGGCATCCTCAGAAGCATACCAATGGTACTGTTATGTGGATTTTCCCGATATAACATTTCTTTTAATTGGCCACACCTTCTTCAAGACAGAAGGAATTCGAACCCAAATCTATGCACGAAAGATTTGCACATTTATTCTTGGGTCAAGCGTCAGCAAGCATTTCCATGTCAATAACAGTAGGGATCTTTCCCATGTGCATCTCTGTCTTGCCTGATTGTGGCAAATTTCTTCCCTCTTACTTAGACTTATTACTCCGTTTTATCCTGCAACCGGAAGTACAATTTCTCCTAATCATGCTTGTTCATTGGCAACCCTCCACATTCCATGCATAACATACAGGTGCCTTTACATCCATTGCAATATGACAAGACATCTCCCATCGGGGTCCGAATTGTGGGATTTTGCAATTTCTTCCTTCGAACTACTGGGAACTTGTTCCTGAGTTTGTGATGTGGTTCCCTATTGAAGAGTTGCATTTGGGGAATTCTTTGTCCAATTTCTAATTGATCAATGTCAGATTTTGTCCTCCAAGAGATGATTCCATGGATAACCACAACAAGCAATACAATCCAGAGAACAACGATATAGATCAATGTTACATTCCAGGGCAGGATTTGATCCAGAATTAATCTAGGATGCCCAAGTACTGAATAAAAGATGAATGTGTAAAGAAACATTATTGTATTTGTCTAAACGATGAAGGACAAAGAGAAATGATTAATCTATGGTTTAGACAGGTTTGGGACGTGTTTGTATCCCTATAAAAAAAGTTTAAGCAGAGATTTTTATGTGGAACATCGCTGTAACATTAATTTGAGAGAGGGTATGAAACAAAATCTGTTTAAATAACAGTTATGACTTGTCAATTTGGGTGTAACAAGTTTTCAGTTCCAAGCAATAAGATTTTTTTGTCTATCGAATTATAAAGATAGGTAAATCCCACAATTTATTTGACAGGTAACTACTATTAATAAGTTTGTGAGAAAGCTTGTGTATGTTTTCATATTTAAAGTTTGGAAAATATCATCCTATAGGTTACTATCAGTGACGCAGGTATACACCACGAAACCACTGTCTGAGCTCTATTTATTTACATCAAATACCATTATTCTATCCCAATAGTCTGAAGATGAACCAAAAAGTGACAGTGTAGTGTTCACCTCTTGGCACTTGGGTAACTTCATTTCTGAATCAGGTTTCAATACTCTGCCGCCAACTTTAGGATAAGGCAATGCAAGGGAAAGAGCAAGTGAAGGATTACTATCACTTGTTTCTCTTTCAGAATTCTTGTCTCCTAAATCTTTACCGCTCATGAAAAATGGGGGCATATCTCCCTCATCTGAAGAACTACTTTCAACCCCAAGCTTAAGCTCAAGACTTGAAACACTGGAATCTCGTCCATTCCCACTGTCATTTGGAAGAACTTGCCGCTGCAAGGACTTCCACCTATATTTATTGGCTACTGAATCTAACTGAGGAGAAACTATGGATATGTCATAAGCTCCATTGCACCTCAATTCACCAGAAATGCTTGGACCTTTGCCATCTATAGCAATGGAACATCTCTCATTTATATCCTTAATGCTATTATTAACCATGTTCAATCCACTAAGACTAGTCTTCAGCCTCTTGCAGTCATGTCTTCCATCAACCGAAGTACAGTCTGCGAAATGCTCTTGGTTTTCTTGAAGAGAATAATTGAGATCAATTTCATGTTTTCTTTTTGACTCACTTTCTTCCCTCTGCAAGAAATTCTACATCACAGTCATCAAAACAAAAATAAAGATAAATAATTAATAGACATCAAAGGAATTAAAAGAGCAAAAGTAAGCAACCCAAACAATGTTTAATTAATAGACAAACCACACTCATCTCTCTCTCTCTCTCTCTCTCTCTCTCTCTCTCTCTCTCTCTACCTTTTTCTCTTTTTAATGGCCAGACATCAACAAACAAGTAGAAGCAAAAAATTACCTGAGATGAGTCAACTCTGCCCACTTGCTGACTACAACTTGTTTGAAAATCTGGGGGTTTCTGTTCCCAAGAAGATGCTTTGGTTTCACACACTTCAACCACTCTACCAGAAGTAACTGCCTTTGAGACAAGTGAACTGTTCGAGTTTAATGTTTGTTGGGTATTAAAAGATGCCAAGGATGCGGATAAATTTTGACTTGACTTTCCAGGAGGGAGCGAATTCTCAGAAGCAAACAAGGCTGGAATCTGTCGTGAGCAGTGAAGCCTCTTTACTCTAAATACACCCCATAAAAACAGCAAGTTATTCCAACCTGCAATGTTGAAACTAATTAAGATTTAACCAAAAACTGAATATGTAAATTTGATTTTGCTTTTGTGAATGCATGTTAAATGTAAAGATCAAATTCTTACGCTGAGATTTTCCTGGGAGTATGTTAGAAGAGAATATTGAAAGCTCAACCCCTCCAAAATTCCCTTTGAGGCTGAAATCATTCTTAATCATCCTATCCAACAAGTTCTTATAGCTTTTTTCATTACTGCACAAGAAGCACGTAAAATACTTAAGTTATCTGCAAGAAAGTTAGCTCTTCTAAACAAAGAAATATTTTCAGAAACCTGTCAAGGTCCTTCGCAAAAAAGTAAAGAGCAATATTATCTTCAGTAGCATGACATTTCATGAATTGAGTGGGCCACATGCTCAATCGAGGTGCTTCCTCCAACAATAGTTTTCGAGGCAGTTTCTGCACTACTTCAAGAACTTTATGTGAGGCATAAATTGATAAGTGTGCTTGCATCCCATCACAAGTAAATGGAAGTCCTCCACTCCTTTGAATTTCGAACTTGCCACTGCAACACACGTCACAAAGTATTGTTTGAGACACTTAAAAGCTAAGCCATGAGATGAAGAGTCATTGGCAAGCTTCAAAACAAACAATAAGAAAGGAACAAAAACCCATACTGCCATATATAATCAAGCTGTGGAACAGCAGAAATCCAAGAAGGCATATGTACTTCAGAATCAAACATAGACGAATCTCTCAGGCAAGGCCATTCGTCAGATTGGACATTGCCATTTGAATGCTTCATAGTGGTAGCAAGCACTACTTCAGTAGAATACTCAACATGCTGCCTCACATTGACAACTCTCTTTTTCCCTTCATTTGGTGAACTTCCTTGGCAAGAATGACCAGATATTTTCAATGAATTATCTAATATTTCATGACCTTTCACAGCCATTACATCATGACAAGAGGAATTTGAAGGGTGTGGCAAACTATTTTCGCCAGGGGATGCAATTCTTTGATCAGCCAATGATGCATATGAATCACTGTTTACTAATCTCAATTTCTTTTCTGTCTTAGCAGAATACTGTCCTTTTGGATGCCTTGATCCCTTCAAATCCTCACCAGGAGAAAAGTTAGGAAGTGATTTAACGTCATGATTACTGTTATTCACACTATATGACCTCATATTCTTCAATGACATAGATTTAGACATCATTTGAACTCTACCCTTACTCTCACTGGCAGCAGTTTCTTTAGCAAATCCTTCACTGTGGAAACTACCTTCCTTCAGCTGTTGGACATCCTCTTTTAAGCTCAGAGCAGAGAATGATTTTGACTTGAAAAGAAATCCTGCAATGACAGAATAAAAACTTATTCAGTTAGTCAATGAGAGTTATATGTTTATATTCTAGTTAATAAAGCACAGCTTCGCCATTAAGGTGTATGAGAAATATACCCTTTGACACCTGAGATTGTGATGACAATTTAGGTGATTTACTACTTGATTCGACAGGAATGCGCACAGTTTTCATAGTAGTGCTAGAAGAGTGGCCTCCAGATTGATGCATTGAAGTTTTGCTGCTGGAACTCGATGTGTTAGGTGAAACTGTTCCAAAAGGCCTTTTTCTCACTGCTTGTGAACTGCCTACAGGTCTCTTAGAAGAGTACAAAGGCATTGAACTAACTGAATGTGCTTTGCTTTCCTCAACCTCCAAATCTTTGGTTTCTGATTCTACAGAGTATGTTTTTTTAAAAATCCTAACTCCTCCCTCTAATTCGTCTTCTCTTTGCTTCTCAGTTTCTTTACTGAACATGCATTCCTCACACATCCAATCACCTTTGGGAACATTGTCCATGTTCACACGCATGCAATAACTGGTTCATGGAAATAGAATGTAAATATTTCAGCATCCCACGAAAAAAGGAAGATGCTATAAAAGCACAAGCATTATACACTTTAAGGTGTAAAGATATGAAGAAAAGGGCAAACATGCATGCATGCGAGAGACAGAGATATGGGACCTACATGTGTTCTGCCCCATCATTGCAGTTGCTACAAACAGCAAGCAACTCCTCTCGTCCTATGTCACCGCATATATCACAAACTTTTACCTGCTTATCCAGAGACAATAATTAAGATACAGAAGTCATACTCTGTTAAGCAGGGAAAATAAAGCAAGAAAAGACAATAAAAATTTCATTTGCAAGCATCTCAAGGCCATGAAGATATCAGTTGGATGACAAGATATGAGAAGCAACATTTTGAAGGAATACCATCGTTGTAATTCATGCATAATTAGAGACTTATAAAAACTTTCCTCAAACATCTATTCTTTGAATGAGAAGTAGGTATCATAGAGCCAGCATTCTTAATAGATTTTCTTCCATGCTTTCTCAAGCCAAATAAATTTGTTGGTAACATACAAAGCTTTCTAATCACCTTTTTCTAGCAACCTAAAAGTTTAATTAGTCTAGTGTTAGCCACGTCAAGGCCTTGTGTAAAGATGCCAAACATAAGAATGTAACAGGAATAACACAATACATACTTCATACTCTGTGCTGTCTGATCCATCACTACAAGCAGCAGGCCGCGACCCAATAGTAGTTTCTTCTGTATTAACTTCCTTAACCACTGTACTGGACTTTAATTCCGCTGTTTGCTGTCTTTCATTTATTCCAGTACCAACCTGCATAGATTCAGCAGAGTTATGTTCATCACCAATCTGACTGCCAACCTGTAAGGCATCTGCTCTTGCAGAAGATGATTGGACTTGTTCCTCAGAGCACTCAGAATGTTCTCCTTAGAAATGAAGATTAAATTTTAGTTTCAAATTCTAAGCAACTTCAAAGCAATATATATATATATATATATATATATATATATATAAAATTTACCACATAAAAGAAGGAATTTCAAGAATCTAGAACACCTTTGCCAAGCTAGCACCAGCACAGGAATCTAGTAAGGATGAAATTTCAGAAAAGTCTGATTTGTTTGAACAACACAAAATCTCTTGCGAAGACTCATCGGAAGATCTATTTGACCTCCTTGGATGATTATCTTCTACCTCGCCACAAGGACTACCAACTAAACAACAAGAAGCAGGTTGACCGTTAACAGCCTTTTCAGTCTCAGAGAAACTATATACTGAAGCTGAGCCATAAGATGTATTTTTCTTCTCTGCATAACTGTTATGGTCACTAGCCCTTGTCTTTGCGTAGTCTGATCCATAAACAAAGGAGTTGTTATCTCCATGAAACTCTGACTCCTCCTGCTTCTTAAGCTGATTTAAGACAACCTTATCATGACAGATTGGTACTTTCAATGAATCGTAATTATTTGCACAAGTTTGATGCAGGTTTGCTTTTACAGTCATCTTAATGCCTTCAGAGGTGTTACGTCCCTCAATGTTTCTTCACTCTCTGCATTTTCAGAAAAGGATTCGCGACTCAAACATGCACTGAGACGGTGACTTGTCTCACCGCTTGTATGATGTCTATCATTGCACGCACTATTTACCCGAGGAGATGACAAATCAGCATCATAAAAAGAGCAACCGTTACTATCCTTTTTTTGACAGGCTTCGCATGTAAACCCGGTAGTTTTTTTGCCATTGATACCATTTGTTCAGAAGGCAAACATGGTGAGCATGAAGGAGCACACATGGTGCATGACCCAGATTCTTCTTTTAAACCTAATTTACTGCTTGAGAATAGGGTACTGCCAAATCCTTTTTCAGCATTAAAAAAATCCCTGATAGGCAATAGAGAATCACGACCAAGAAAGAAAAAACTTTAAAGAAAACAATATAACTTAGCAAAAGCTTGCTGTTCAAGAAGACTGCAAGAGCAAGATTAAAAAGAATCACACAAAATAAACAAAGCAATATCACAGTTGCATAGAATTTATAATATAGGTGAAGCTATGGAAGTTTTCTACATTTTCCATGTGTTCTATTTAATGGTATATAATGAAAATAATATTGCATTCGGGGATACTTCATTGCTTTCGAAAGTCCCCATGCATCTGAACAAAGCTCAAGAAAAAGAAACTTAAAATATACACTGAATTCACAAATGCCGATCAGTATCCATATAACCACATTCTTTCTAAGCAAAGGGAAAATAAATATAAAAACAAAACCTATTGGAACTCCTTTCAGAATATGGAATAGAGATGCTTCGTTAATTTTCAAAGTGCTCACATATCACAAATGAAGCTCAAGAAAAAAGAAACTTTAAATTTACACTGAATTCACACATGTCAATTGTTGGAGATCACCACAGCTCTGATACCATTTGTTGGGCTAAAAGCTTCCAATCCAATCACACACAGCAGAAGCGAAATCAACTAATAAATCAAACACACAAGAGACAACAATTTAACGTGATTCGGTCCAATTGACCTACATCCACGGATGAAAAAAAAGATCCACTAGTTGTAAAGAATTACAAACATACATCATATCATCAACCTCACTCAACAATCAATACTCATAAGACACTCTCAATCTCCTCTAGTCCTATGAAGTATTCTCAACCCAACAACAAACCCAAACAAACACAAACCCAAACTCTTGTGCACCCTTTCAACACAACCAAACACATACCCATATGTTCCCATACATCATACTTATGTGGACCCTTTCAGTCTCTTCTAGTCCATTTACAAATAAACATACACACCCATAAAACGTAGAGCCCCAATACTCCTATGGGATGTCTATCCCACAAAAACACTACAACTCTTTTACATCTTTTTTTCATACCTAACCCTGTAGAGACTTCACCTATTTATAACCATACAAACTTGCCCATTAAGAATCTCACTCCTCTTAGAATTCTTCTCCTGTAAGTCAAACTTGCCTATTAAGAATCCATTTTCTTTTAGAATTCTTCTCTTGCAAGTCAAACTTACCTATTAAGAATCCTCTTTCTCTTAGAATTCTTCTTTTGCAAGTCTTTTTGTCCATCAAGCAATATCTGACAAATCTCAAATAAATCTCTAACAAATCTCTTATGAAATTTGAGTCAATATTTCCAACATCAATCCAGTATCCAGATTACTATGTTCCTTCTTACGGCACAATCCAAATGACATAAAAGACAAAACAAAGTATATCACTTAGTTATTTGCTTGATTATATTTTTTTTAACTCCACTAAAGACGCATTCAAGTCAAACCAAGATAAACAGTGTTCATGAAAGGTAAAAAGAAGTATCAAAATAAGTCAACACAAAACAAAACCTGTCTCAATGCCCTGAAATAACCCGTTGGCTCTATTCCAAACCCCAGACAGAACTAAACTAACAAACTCGACAAATTTATCACAAGAACTCTGAAATGAGCTTAAAAGATCAGCAATGCACTTAATTTGCATGAGAATTTTGTTCATTGAATCGTAATTGACAGAAAACTGGAAAAGAAATTAAAAGAATGAACTTATTATGCCACATCGTAATTTCTCACCATATTCAATGGAAAATTGCAGCCAGCTTCATCAGCAAGACCTTCTGAACAGAAATTCCCTTTCACAACTTATGTGACCTGCACAAATATCAAACGATAACACATTTAGAAGAATTTTCAGTAATTTAGGAAAATTAGAATGCTAAAGCCACAAAGTTAACACACTACACCAAAAACACAACAAATACAATAAAATTTGACAAACATTCGATTGATTAATGAGAATACAAGAGAAAAGAACAGAAAAGAAACAAAAATATAAATATTTTCAGATCATCTTGAATTTAATGGATTAAAAAGAGTCAATCTTTTATTTTTTCCATAACCAATGCAACACAAGAACTAAACCACCTAACATTTATGCTAAAAATATATATCTTCACACAAACTGAGTAATTCATATTTGAAGAAGAAAAATGGTCACTTGAACTTTACAAGCAATCTTGACAATCCACAAGAGACGTCAACCAATCTTTAGCAATACAAAAATGTCAATCAAACATGTAAAACAAATCAAGGAAAAGCAACAGAAAAAGACTCATCTATCCAAACAAACAACCCAAAACCAGAAATCAAAAACTAAAAAAGCCTAAACTTTTTTAATAATTAGCCCTGATCACCAATTCTAGTGCCAACAAAGTTGAACCCCACAAACAAAAGAAAAAGTAAAAAAGAAATTCCATCCCTTTGGCTTTGAAACCTCATTTTCACCCTCATACACATTCTCATATCCCACTTTTCTCATATCCCAAACAAAAATAATAATATTAATAAAGGAAAACCAAAACACAAGGACAAAACTCAACCCAGACAAGACAACCTTAACTGATGAAAGAAAGAAACACAAGGACATGAAAATCGGGAGACAAAGAAGCAGAATTTATAAGACCTCTTTTTCTCTCCTTGCCTCTGTTTTTTTCCAACGTTTTCTTTGCTCCCTTCTTCAGTCTATTTGAAGCGTGTGTGTATATATATATATATATATATATATATATAATGAAATTTGATTAGATTTTTATTTGGTAGTAATAATGTCTGTGTGATATAGGCCGTACTTGCTCTTATGTTTTCTACGTCGTTGACTTTCAAGACATTGGAGTTCTCTTGACGGCAGCGCTTCTGTTCACTTGCATGTGGCCTTTTTTTAAGAATTTTGCCACGGGGTGAGAAATGAGTGGTAGAATAGGGAACTAGTGCCCGCACCTGATTACAGCCGGTTTAACGGGAAGTCGGGTACGTAACGCATGGGGTCAAGGATGGTGCTAACGTACGCCGTGTACGTGCGGTTTGCTCAGGGATATTATTTTTAGTTCGGAGCAATGAGAAAGCGACACGTGTTTTAAGAAGATACCAAGAATCTTTAGATGATACACCAAAACTCTTTTTTTTTTTTTTTTTAATTCATCCTTATATCTCGTATTTTATTATTTATCTGATTTAAAATACTATTTTATATATATAAAGTTTTTCAAATTCATAATTTTGTAAATATAAGTTATAATAATATATTAATTTATTAAAAAAATCCATGCATAATAATGTTAATTATGCAAGATTTAAAAAACGATGAAAAATGAGATTTATATATAGAAAGAGAATGTCTTATCTATTTTATTTCCTTAATTTCATTGGAGTTATGAATTTGGTAGCATCGCTTCCTCAACCATATTTTCTTTCTTCGTTCAATTTCAATTTTATATTAATTAAATATTATCCCGAATTTAAATTTAAAAATCTTATTAGGATAAAAAGTTTAATCCACGAACAAATTTAATATATATATATATATTAAATAAAAATTTTGCAATCAAAATTATAATTTGATGCATTTTAAAAATAATTTTAAAAATAATTAAATTAAAATATGAATTAATATTTAATCCTTCTTTTAATCAACAGTTCAAGGACAAAACAATACTGTAAAAGAATGGGAAGTTTGCATAATCAATACTCTATCATTAGAAGTACTTATTAATAAATAAAATAAAAGAAAAAGACAAGAAGTTAATGAATTCTTAAAAAGAGAGTAATCAGAGACAGTGTGAACAACAAGAATCTATGAAGTTCCACTACAAGAAAAATATTAACCAACAAAAAAAAAAGGTTAAATATCATTTTCACATATGAATTTTCCACAAATTATAGTATTTTAAACATTTGTTATATTATTATTGTATTAAGTTATTTGTTAACAAAGTCTCATTAATTTAAGAAAAAATAAAGTTTGCAATAACGAGACAAAGACTTACACCTGTAGGAATGATTTTCAATTGATTTTATAAAATGAAAAAAAAAAACTAAAAAGAAAAAAAAGAAAAAGACAAAACATTAGTAGGAGAGGTTTTTTCTTTTGTTTTTTTTGAAAGTAAAATTTGTGAAATTTATTATTAAAAATGATAAACCTAAAATTAAAATTGAAATTCAAAATTATTGTAGAATAATTATCATCTTATTTTATTTATTATTTTATATGTCAAATATGATTTAAGTGTATAAATTTTGAAAAAAATAAATAAATTTTGATAAATTTTTGATAGATAATTTTAATAAAAATATTAATAAAATTTTTATTATTAAATAAATATTGATTAAATTTGAATTATATTGATATTTTTAATTATTTAGTATATATTATTAGTCTTCACAAAAATAAAGTTACTAATCTAAAATTCAAAACTTACAATTCCATTGAGATAATTTCGTGATTGACGGTGTAGTAAATTCATATATTTACTCATTTAACAAGGTAAAAAGTCCTTATAAATTCGTAACTGGAGTTTTTTAAGTGTCTTCATGCCTAACTCTAATTCATTTAAAACCTGCATATAATGAACAACTTTAAAGTTAATAATGACATTGAGAATGAAAAACACATGAAATATCTTTTCTTTTCATTAGGAATCAGCATATCAGTCTGCTAAAATTTTCTAGCTGCATGCAAGTTTCATTGAGAGGTTCTCAAAGTCAAAGCACACACTATTTGGCATTAGAAAAAAAAGTTGGTTTGGAAAGCAGGCCGATGTGGGATTAAAAGTTACTCCTTGGGCTAGAGGTTGGTCCAATCCAAAAATGAGAACCCAAAGACTGCAAATTTCTTGATCCTGTTTGATGCTTTACCCAAGTTAAAAAAAAAAGGGGCTTTTTTTGTTTTATATATAACTCAGGCCATTGTAACAAAGTTTTCGAATCACCCAAATTTTGGCGACAGAGATTGGTAAAAATCTTGAATCCCTAAAGCATATTCCATTAACTACCCATATTGGGTTTCAGCTAAAATATCATAAATTAGAGATTAATGTTTTCTTTTTGCTAAAAGGGTAGGGTACTAAACAAATTCACTAATTATAATCCAATTAATACGAATTTAATTAAAAAAAAAACTACCCATGCAAAAAGAAAAAAGCCTGATCAGACCTAAGGGGATTAACAAAAAAAAAAAAAAAATCAAAAAATGTTTGTTTGATAAAATAAAATAAAATAAAATCGGACAGAAGAAATATTAGGCAACTACCGCCTTAACTATATATAAAAACAACAGAGAAATCATAGCAGCAAAACAGGTTTAGAAACATGATCTGAACATGGGTTTTGTTTGCTAAAAAACAAGCTCAAAGGTCTACACAAAAGTTTGGTTGTGTTTGCAGTGTTTATAGAAGTGTCACTGTAATAACAGTGATTGTTAAAGAGAGGGCCAGAGGGGCTTCCCATGCAGATGAAGGTAAGAGAAAGGCAATGATTACTGACTTTGTGGGAGGGGTGACCTGGGAATATGAGTCCCATGCACTGACCATGACTATTCGTCGAAGCCCACCTTACCACCCACGCACTTTTTCCCAGTCACTACATTTTCATTACTTTTTATACTCTCAACTAAACGACCCCAGCATTCATGTATATGTTAACTTTTAACTATCAGAATCTTGGTCGATATTACTACTGTTTAGTCTTTCCTGCTCAGCTTCTCTCAGGTGTTGAAAAGAAAGATGAAAAATAATAAAAAAAAATAAGTGGCGAAGTACTTGAAAGTCTAAGCATCAGAGGGAGGTTTTAAAGAGGTTTTCATTTCTTGCATTTAAAAGGGCTTTTGTCAAATGGGGTTTTCAATATTTCAGCAAAGAAAAGAAAAACACTATTGCAGAGGAACAATAAATGAATTAGGGGTGGCTTTGTGATGATTGTCAAAATTTTATCATGAATGATATCTAAAGGGAGGGGGAGGGGGGTGGAGAGGAGATCGGTTGGGGAGGGGACCAAGCAAGGGTGGCTAGAGCCAGTAGTTAAAATCATCTGATCAGGCCTATAAATACCGTCCTAGCTACAGATTTTGGTGGGGTCGAGGACAGGGGCAAAGGCTGAAAGGATAATGTACCTTTAGTCAGACCAAAAATCTGATCTTATTCGAAAATATAATTAAATAATTAATTAATCATAAAAAAATTATAATTTAACATAATTCAATTTAATTAATTTATATTCATAAATAAAAAAATTATTATTTATAAAAAATTATAAGTATATAATCATATAAGTCGCATTAATATTCATAAATACTTTAAATTTTTTTTAATTTTATAAAATATTTTTAATTCATATAAACACGTATTTATATGCATCAATTTATTATATTTATGTGAATCATCTCAATATCTTTTAATCACTCACATGCATTATATATATGTGAATTTTTTTAATTTGTTCTAATCTACTCATAAATATATAAATATACACATATATAAAACGTAAATGTATCATATTTATATGAACTATCTCACTTTCTTTTAATTCACTCAAATATATAAATATATACATTCATAAAACGTAAATTTTTAAAAATTTTAAAATATATCTATCTTATAAAAATTTATAATTCTCTTATATCTTTTTTTTATACTTAATCTTATAAAAATTTTATTTTTTTAAAAAATATATAAATTTATTTATCAAAAATCTTTTTTCTCTTAAAATTTTTTTCTGCATAGGATTGACTCGTTATTCTCAACAGCTTCAGCACTCAGCAGTAAAAAGTTGAAACAAAGGTCTCAAACACAGATTTAGTATCTTCTCAGAAGGTACTCTTTTCCATCAGTGATGCATGTCCCACTCTACCTTTTTCCCAATTCCCATTGTGTATGAGCATTTCATAGAAAAACTGTATTGGCTACTAATCATAAAATGCTATCAAAACCCCAAATAAAGAAGATCAGTTGTTGTAGGATTTACGATCACTTTACATAGAATTCTTAGCATATAATTAATTAGAAGGAGTAAAAAATCTTCTCATTCCACCACCATTGAGAAAATTGAGGGTTCTTAGGGGCACAGGCAATAATAACTTGATTACTAATGGCCATCTCAATGTGCAATGTATGTAGTTTGATGCATGGCAATGTTAATTTTACCTTTTTAAAAGGGTTGTAACAAATAAATTAAAAAAAAAGTACATAAAAGAAAAAGAAAGAATAAATGTGGGTAAAAGATGTTGTATAGAAGTGTACTTGTAAAATTTCTTGCAGTGCGAAAAGGAGAGACAAAATCAAGTTGGTGTCAATGGGGAGCAAAGATTTTAACTCAAACAGGGTAAAGGAGATTACCATGGGATCTTGTAATTGTATGAAAGTAACATTGATGCAGCCAATTTAGGAGGGAGCTAAGTGAAGTGGTCCAACACTTCTCCCTCTGAAAAAAATTTCAGTATCGTACATACATAGTAAATTTATTATATCTGGGAAAGTGTGTATATATATATATATATCATCACTTTTGAGCTTTTTTTACCATGAATTTTTCGTATCTATCTGCCTATTATTCAGTCTGCTATATATTGAGAAAAGTAAGTGTTTAATAAGTTTAATTTTCAGCTGGTAATAGGTTGGAGATATATCGTTTATTAAATGTATTAATGATCTGTTTAAGTTGAAGATAATTCTAGAAATATGTTACTGTTCATATGCTAAAAACATACAATTGAATTAAAAATAAATTTAAAATATTCAACATCTACTTAAATTAAAATATAACTTAAGTAGGATTTCATTTGATTATAATTAATTGTATTTTAAGATTAATTAAATTCTCATTATTTAGTAACTAAAAAAGTTTTTAGCAAAACAAAGAATGAAAAAAATAAAAATAAATAGAAAAATAAATATTTAATATTTAATAAAGGGTATATTCATCTTTTAGTTAAAATTAACTTAGTAAATTAAAAGGATTAATTTATTTTTTAATCAAATCTCAGGGGTAAGATGGTAATTTTAAACTGAAAAAGATAAATGTATTTTCTATCATATATCTCAATGGTGTAAATATACTTTTTCAGACTCGTTAATTATTATAAACTGATATTTTACTAACAAAACCAAATTTAATTCTTGCCTTAGATAGTTAATAAATATTATACTTTCAGAACCAATAAGTAAATACATATACGTTGTTATCTACCTTTTAAACATAGGTGTGTAATTGTGTACTTTCCTGCTTTTGCAGGTTAATTATTCATCCTCAGAGCTTCTGTTTATTTCAGATCCAGAGGGGAATAATATTTCATGTTGGGCGCTGTGATATGATGATCAACAGCAAAGTAATTTGGGTTTCTTTAGCAAAATCGCCAGCTTCTGCAAGGAAAAAAAATGGTATGCTTCTTCAACAGTGCCAGTGGCGCCACATGAGACACATGAAGTCATGAAGCCTTCACATGGCTAGCTTAGCCAAATTCAATTCCAGGCCATGAGTTTTTGTGGGTCTCTGTTCACATCTCTCGAATGAAATGGACCACATTATATATACGAATTAATTACTCCCCCATTTGATGGTTAAAAATGCGTGATCATTTACTTAGTACAGTACAGTTTGACAGAGAAATACACATGCAAAGATAGTTTGGGTTTAAAGAATTTTCAAGGAGCTATTTCTCTCTCTCTCATATATAAAAGCAAGCTTTTTGAGGTGACAAAGAGGGCACAGATTGGATCAGAAAACAAGAAAATGACATGGAAGAAATAGGTTTTAACTCTTGCATTTATCTGACTTTAGGGAATGTTTGTTACTTTGGTTTTCATTTTGGCCATGAAAGAAGGAACCATTGGCTAGCTGTGTGGTGAAGCTGCTGGACCTTTGTAGGAAATAGGGCTGCATTGCAGGTCTAAAAACAGTCCAACAGAAACGACATAAGCCGACAAGTACAGTTTTATTAAGCATCCAAAAGAACAAAAAAAATTAGCATAAGAAAACATAAATGGAAAGAGATAAAACAGATTGACGACTAGCTAGGCACTAACTAGTCAGTGCTGCAAGCCAGGAAAAAGGGTAGCCTTCCCTTCCAACCAGCTATACCCCACCTTTGCCAAGAACATTTGGGGTCACAGGTTCATCCCCACAGCACCAACTAAAAGAAATGTGGAAACCCCAACTCTCTCTTATTAAATTTTTGACAGACAAATTGTTAAATTTTTTCCACAGAACAAATTAATGGCTTAACGCATCGCTATAAAGGGTAAATTGCATATGATATACTATATGTTTTAAATATCAAGTTGACAGGAAAGTTTGTTGAGGCTGATTAATTTGTATAGATTTAATTCTGTACCATGTGACAATAATATGAAGTTAATGAGAGGCAGCTGGTTGATATTTATAAACTAAATAAATTGGAATACGTAGCATGAGATTTGAGGAAAACTCTAGATATAACAGGAAACATGTAGCAGCTGAACCAATCAAAGTCATTTTTTAAGGATTTGCAGATCAGCTACTTGGTTAAATGTCAGGCTCCAACATGAGATGATTACGTCCTTTTGGAAACATTTCATGGATATGAAATGAAACTTTGGAGACCATCACACATATTTCATGCATTTTTAGTTTTCTTAAATTTTATCCAAACAAGGAAGTTTCTGCCATATGAAGTTGGAAAGGATTATAAAGAAGAAACTGAACTTAATGCTTTTTATTCTATTCTACAAGCAAAATAGAAAATTACATAAAATATCAATTGGTTTATTTTGTTAATCTTCCTTCATCCCCTTAAAAACTTCACTTAGTTTACAAAATTTGAAAGTGAGATTTTCCAATTAAGTTAATTGGCCAGGTAGTTCATTTTTAGTCATTAATTTTCTTGATGGGTTGGGCCTAAAAGACATGCATTATTCATTAACAGATGAGTTACGAAAATCTAAGAAACAAATCAGAACTGCATTTCACTTTCGTCTTCTTGATACCTTGTGGTATTGCCATTAATTACTTCTTAAGTATATATAAAAATTTATAAATTAATTTGTTATTTTATCCCCTAGGGTCAAATAAATAGTAAAATTTGATTTTATAATAATAATAATATAAATCGTCATAAATTATACTTCTGATTGGTCAAAAGTTTGAACAAACTTTCAGCAATATTGATCAAAATAATATATAGGGTTTATATATATGAATAATAATTTTTATTAAAAAATTATAATTTAAAAAAAATTACAAATGATAAGAACCAAACTCAATTTGATAAGTTTCATCTTTTAATAAAAATAGTATTTAACTTTTTGCCAAAAGAGTACAGTAATTTTTTAAAGAGTAGAAAAAACACTAAATAATTTTTATTTTATTTTTTGTGTGTATGTGTCTTCAAGTATTTAAATTCATCTTAAATTTACAAATCCCAATGAGATAAATCTGTCTTTCCTCACTGTTTATCGATAAATGTTTGGTAAAAGAAGTTACTTTCCCAAGTGACTAAAAATGCAGAGACAAATGGCATTTCTGTAGTTTTATATGAACAAGAGGATTGAGTCTTGTAAGCTGTAGCTAACTAGCTAGCCCTAATAAAAATAATCACCGCGGAATTATATGCTCACAGGGACACTGTCTTGCTCAGAAAAACCTTTAATAGAAAATGACACTGCACTGCTAACTGACCAGTCTATCACTCAAACCCTAATCTTGTTTTCATTTCTTCTTCTTCAAATTAAATCCTTCTTTTTCTTCAATTTACAGGGCAGTTTTCTTGCCTCTCAATAGCACTTTCATACATGGTAAACGAAATATTTTACATCAAGCATTGAAAAAACAAAAAAATGTCACAGCAAGTTAATCAAAACTAGACTACCTTATACAATATCCATTGGCACTCTTCCTCAAACTGGCTAAAATATATAAAGAAAAAAATTGCACACTCACTCTATTTGATTTTTCTTGTACTCCTTTTTTTTCTGTCAAGATGTTGTTGGTCTATGCCCCAGTCGAAGCTCTAGATCAAGCTCTTCAATTGATGTTTCCTTGCAGTTGTTGCTGATATTGTTGCCATCAGTATTGATATTATCCGCCGAAGTCGTTGATGGTTCGGCTATGGTTGAGTAGCAGAGTGAAGAAGAAGAAGAATTATTCAACCCTGGAGGCGTTACCGGATAATTTATAAATGGTGCTGCCATTAGGTTGTTAGAGGGATAGGGTGAAATAGAGAGAAGGGTCGAAGGTGAATCAATAGAGCATGCATTCATAGGTGGAGAAGCGAAAACCCCATGGCCATTAGGGCTAGGTAATTGGTAGAGGAGGCACAAACCGCCATTTGTGGCCACTTCTTGAGTTGGGATTAAGAGAGTAGATGAGGAAGTAGTAGCAGAAGATGATGAGGTTAGATTAATTAATGCAACAGTGCCAGCTGGTTGTGTTTGGTGAAGCCGAGCCCTGTCACGGCGGTGCACATTCATGTGACCCCCAAGTGCTTGAGCTGACCGGAATTCCCTTCTGCAAAAAGTGCAAGTATAAGACCTTGGAGGCCAAGTTGTGCCCATCACATTACCTGTGTCCTCAGCAAAGGCCCTAACCTCCCACGAATCATCATCTGCTTCCTGAGGCTGCACCTTAGGGTTCCACATCCACGTCGACACAGCAGTTAACTTAGGGTTAGCCTGGTGATGGTGATGATGTTGGTTCTGAGTTTGTTGAGATTGAGCTAACTTTTGACGTTGGTTCAATGAGAGAAGACCAAGCCCAGCAGCCATGTTGCTAGAAACATTTAAGATAGGTGATAGAGAGTTTATGAGGAATGAAATGGGCACAATGGGTAAATAGAGGGGGGGGAGGCAACGGTGATGGGCTTAAAGAGAGAAAGGTAGAGACAAATTAAAACCCTAACACCGGGCATATCACTCAAATCTTGTAGCAAGCATTTGGATTTTTGCAACATTGACATTATAATAACTTTGTCCACTCAACTCAACCAGCATCCTATTCCTTTGTCTAGCACAGACATTGTCGACATACTTTGGCTGCAACGCCACCTATATTTATTGCTTCAAATTTCTCATGCACTTCCTGCTGATCTCTTCAATCTAATTTAAAATAATATCCAAATATATCATATGTTTTTTTAATTGACATGAAATAATTTCTCTTGACTTGATTTAGGTATATGATATAAAGAATCAAAACACAATAGCAATGATTTTAAGAGTAATAAAATTATAAATTAAGACTCGCTCCCTTATGTAATCTTAGTCCTATGATTTTATTTTTATTTAAAATTGTCGGATATTTAATTTTGATCACTGAAGCTAAAAACTCACCATTATACTAATTAAAAGTGAAGTTAAAGGAAAAAGTGAAAAAAAGAGAGAGAACCAAGTCGAAAGAAAGAAAATCAATGGCAGGTAAATTTTTGTTATTTACTTCCGACCGATTGGAAGTTAGTGAAATACCATTATCAGAATATAACAAGAGAATGGTAATGCTAATGAAGTTTCTTTCATTTGGCTTGAAGCATAAGAGATGCTATGCTATTGTCGTTTTTTTTCTCAATTATTTTGTCATGTGACTTGTTCCGGTATATATGACCAAACAACCAACGTGTGAAGAAGCATAGGATCATGTATATATGTATAATCGAACTTTCATTTTCTCCATTTGTTTGTCTTGTTCCTTAGACATGTTTTACATGCTTTATTTAGTTCCAAATTTCTATATTAAAATTTGGACAAAAAACTTTTCCAACTTTGCTTCTTAAATGTTTTGTTTCATTCTTTATTTAATCAATTGATTTCCAGTGACATAGCTGATTAATTTTCCTCTACTGAGTTGCAACTAGGGCGAGATTGAGGCCGTGGGGTACGAACGAATTTGCCCACCTTGATTTTTTTTTAATACCCATCCAAATCTTGATGAGATAAATGATTTTAGTTCCCACGTCCTCAATAATCAATATCCTATTAAATTTCTGAAAAAAACTTATATAAAATTTCATAGGTGAAATTCGTAAAATTTTTTATTAAAAATGAGTAAATAAAAATTAAAATCAATAAATTAAAAGATCTTATCACATACATTAAGCTTGTAAAATTAAAAAAATTAAAAATTTTGATATATTTATTAAATAAACATTTTAATAAAAAATTAATAAAATTTTTACTGTTAAATAAATATTGATCAAATTTAAATTATAAATAATATTTTAAATAATTTTTTTGACATATTTTCATTTTTATATTAAACTTTATTAATCTATTGGTTTGAATTTTTTTAATTAAAGTTTTTATTTACTCATTTTTAATAAAAAAAATTCATGAATTTTACCTATAAAACTTTACGTAAATTTTGTCCTTCAATTTCTTCTTTTAATAAATTGCATTTCAAAGATATTTATTATTCCACGAATACAAAAACCAATTTACACATATATATTAGGATAGATATGTATTTTCAAATATAGCCATGGCGATGGTGGCAATGCTTTACCTTCTCCAATCCTAATCAATCATTAATGTTCAAACATAAAAATGCATAATGAAGTCTTTATCTTCAACAAGTCTTTAACTAAGTATAAAGGTATGGAACTTCCTTTAATATCGATAAGACACGAAGCTGAATGGTCTCCTTCTGACATAGCTGTTTTCACCAATTTCGACTTAAACAAGAATTCAACAAACACTGATCTTACTTTGTCTACTATTGTTTACATCGTCCTGTCTCCTTGGCCATCAAATACCAACAACAAGGAACTCTTACCAGCTATGTCTCATAACTCAATATAACAGACTTTCCTGTCCCCATGCTTAGTTAATAATTACTATCTCTTTAACATATATATCTTAATTAATTCCCTCTCTAATTTGTTACCTGTCCTACTATAAAGCAAACAAGTTGACTTTAAAGCAGTTTAATTGTAGTTAGTTAAGTTTTAATTATAGTACTTCTAGTGAGTAACAAGGTTTACTTTTGGAGACAACCTTTGAGTGATATCTGTCGCATCCATGACCGGATTAATCTTGTTCTTATCGATTTCAGAAGGATATTCTTAATGATTAGTTTTATATATGATTCCCTTTTTTATTCCATATCTTATATATGCTTGGTTTCAATTAAGACAAAGAGAAAAGGATACAAAGAAGGAAAGGGTACTATCAAAACAAGTGACGTTCCATCCAATACATTTAGTTATATAATTTTTTATCCCTCGTATCTATCAAAACAAGTGATGTTCCTAGGATTGATGCTCAGCCAATTCTTAGTTTGAGGAATGTTGTACATCAATGAATTTGACCGAACTAAATTTCTAACATCCAATCGATAAGACTCTTATCCTTTGCATACAAAAGCAATGTCTCTAATATATAAAACAAATTAATATTTTAATATTTAAAATTTTTTTTGTACCTTTAAATCCAACAAACCAGATTTTGGATAAGCATTGTTGAAAGATCGACCGACTTAATCCAATTTATAGACAAATTTAGTAATGAGATAATTGGGTATATTTTAACAGGGATTAATATATATTCATGAGCGTAAATATATATATGATTAGTTATGATTAACTAATATTATCTGGAAATAAAAAAACTTTATAACGGCGAAAATAAATGTAGCACTTAATAATTGAAAAGGGGACCAAGGATCAAAATAATACTACTAGTGAGTATCACATTCACATATAGTGGGGTAAGGCATCTTTTCTCTTTTCGAGTAACAGAAAAAAAATGGAAATGATAGGTCAAAATCCCATGACATCCCCACTAACGCATTAATTCTTAACAGTTTTTTCCTTTTATTTTCATAGCTCATTCTACATCCACATGATGTCCTTTTCAATGTTTCACGTTACAGATTTTGCACTCCAAACCAAAAAAAAAAAGGATTAGATTGGTCTTGAACCCAAATTATACAGGCCCGATATATACCTGATGCTTAAATATACAAATGAGGCCCATCATCATCTTTTGAATCTGATGTTTTGGAAAAGAGATGGATAGATTCAAACCAACAGGTCGACTACAATGAACAACCATGAGATTACAATTTGGCCATTGATTAATTAAAATAATGCTAGATGAAAAATCACTGATGCAAAACCAAGGACAGTAACTTGGATATAAGTACATATGGATATCACATCAGGATGTGCCGATGTTGAAGTTGAAACTCCTGAGAAGGATCGATCAGGTAAAAAAAATCAGATTTTGCACTTGGTAAGCTAGGGTGAGGTTATTTGGTCTCCAATTCGGCTACAAGGATACAGCAAATCTAATCAATGCTGAAATCATGTCATTTATGACAATAAAAATAAACAATTTGGAGAAAAAATAAATTCGGCTACAAGTTCATAGCAAATTTTTTAGGTCATACGGATACTGGAGACCTACAGAATATTCAAGTACCAATGTGTCCTTGTAAATCCTGTAGTATGAACTGAAAACAGGAAAAGTCTCTTCTCTCAGTTTAGTTTGCGGTTGCTGAGCTGAGCCGTTTTAAATCAAAAACTAAAACTCTAATGAGATCTTGGCCTCCCTCAGACAACAAAAAAACAAACCCATCCTATGTTTTGTCTCTTGTTGTTACCTAATGATTTTGTTCCACAGCCACCCGCTGCCTGATGGCTCTCTTGTCTTTGCAATCGACGAACCCAAACAGGATAAAAGGTCGGTGCTTCCATCCTTCACTTTCTTCCTTTTTTTTTCTTCCAGACCATGTTTTATTGGTTAAAGACAATGATTCTTTGCTATACTATGATTATGGTTTCTATTTTAGCTTTTGAATCTCTAAAACTTTTGTGGACAGTGCAATCTTATGAGGTGAAAAATGCAAGAAGCATTTATTTTTTTATTTTTTGTTGAGATTCTTCGGAGAAGCACGTTTGTTGATTTAAGCCTTTTTACAAGATTGTCTTTTAATGTTACATTAACTCTAAATTCGATTGGGTTCTTTTGCAAATTTGGGTCGGATTTAGGTTTTCTTGTTTTAGATGTGTTGATTGTTAATATTGGTATAGTGAAATGATGTTGTAAATTATTAGTAAGAGTCAAAACCAAGAAGTTCTTATTCACTGACAATTATCATGGCTTGCATCAAGCTTGTCCTAAGCTTATCTATTCCAGTGGAGTTGTGAATTTTTGTTCACTATCATGATAAAAAAAAGGATCACTGTTGAATGGCATGAGGGAGGAGAGATGGAAAAAAAAGGCTTTTCTATGCAAATGGAAACATCAATCATTTGTTTTGCACTCCTCACAGCTCATTTTATCTGCCTATATATATGTAACCTTGTTATTTTTTAACAGTTTGGGCAAAAGTAATCCAGGTTACATATCCATGGAATTTTGTGTAATTACAGATGATTAGAAATGAAGCCCGTGTAAAATTTCTGGTTAACATTATGTCCAAAATGATTAGGTGTATTCTGGAAACTTATGATCAAACTGTATATTGATGGGTGTTGGAAATGAAGGATTATTTGTTTTAATTTCTGACTTACATGGTTTCCATCCATTTTTAAGTGATTTAATATTTGGATATCCAACAATATCTGTGCATTGCAAGACAAGCTTGTTAAAATTTTGGATATCCCTGCTCTCTTTCAGTAAATTTGCTAGTCAATTTTCTGTGGTGTCTCAAGAAAGGTTAGAAAGATCAGAGGCAAGTAGTGTTTTCCTCATTGAGTGGAACAAAACAGCACATATATTTTCATCCATTGGTCTGTTTAATAAGTAGTCGAAGGTTGTATTTATTTTTATCCAATTGGGACCTT